TCCAGGCGGGGAGGGGCGGCATGCGGAGGTCGAGCTCCGGCGGCAGGCTGCAGCGTCAGGTATAACGAGAACCGCGTCGTTAATTGTTGGCTGTCTTTTCAATAATCTTTCCCGATGAGCCAGGGATCGCTCGGCGTTTTGTGTGTTATGGAAAAGTTATCTGTGCTGTGGAAAGTAACTCGTTTTTACAGCAGGCTTAAGCGGTCCTCAGGAAGGTCATACGGGAGCGGTGGGCTGCTTCGGTAGAAAATTAATCCCTCTTTTACGCTCCTTGCTTTAAACTTGCGTTTGCTTTCCAAGCAAGGTCACTGCTCAGCTGGCCAACTTTTTAACAACTGGAAAAGGCACGTTTTGCTGCTCCGAACCCTTCGCTGCCAGCTCTTGGCACGGGAGAAGGATGCTTTTGAGGGAGGCAAGCGCTGCTGCTCCCCGACAGGCTTGCAGGTGGAAGCGTGAGAAGGTGACGCGGCGGGATGCTCTGCTAACGGTGCTTCTCCCTTTCATCGCAAAGTGCTAAAGGCAGTGCTGCAGTGCAGGAGAACACGGCAGGCAGGGCTCAGAAAAACGTTGTGTTACAGCTAACGAGACACCGCTAACGCGCTGCTCAGCGGGGAGGAATTATCTTCTCATTTATAGGCGCGGGGTTAAACGCTTCCAGTTTGAAACGACTAGCGAGACGCTCTCGGAGGGTGAAATTCTTGTGTATTTGTCTTTGTGGTTCGGTTAATTTGTTCTTTCAATCTTCTGGGGTGTGATGCTGCTCTCCCTGCTGCTGGTGGGTGGGTGGGGGAGCGGGCTGGCGCTTACCTTGCCTGGCAAGCGGGACAGAGTAAAAGAAGGGTTAAACGTGACTGGAAGGAGCTGGGGTTTGAGACAGGCTCGTTAAAAAGACAGAACCTTGTCCCTGCGAACGGGCTGCCCCAGGGAATGAAACCGCTGCACTCTGGGCTGTTGCCTCCTCATATATTTGCCTTCTTTATTTCTGTTTCCGTATATTTTTATTCCTGCCCTGAGAAAAGCGGTGTAATTTCATTCAAGGTAAAAATCAGCAATGCTGCGCGCGTGGCAGGGTCGCCTGCCTGGAGAGGAGAATAAATATTCTTCAATTTTATGCAATAGGGGAAGGCTCAACAAATCCAAAACCCGACAGAGGGTGAGCGGGACAGGTATTTGCAGGATGGAGACCCACCTAAAATTGTGGGCCAGACCCTGGGCGTACGGGCAGGCTGCTTCTGGCCGATCGCTTCGCTTTTTTCATCTCATTTTGATGAGGGACAGGCGTGGGACAGCACCCGTGGGGTCCAGGGAGCCGCGGGGTTGGCTCCCAGGCGGCCGCCCCTGAGCTGCCCCAGGGGGACGGGAGAACATCAGCAAGCTGGTGGGGTACATTCAGCATCCTTTTACGAGGCGATTTTGAAGTAGATTGGTCAAAAGAGAAAAGCCGTAGTATCAATTTGGGCTGCGGAGCTGGGACCCAGCCAGCTCATAAACGAACCGATTAGATGTAATTGTCTAGATATTAAAAAGCGTCCTATTCGCTGGCTTTCCCCCCAGCCCCTCTAAATAAATGACCTGGAGGAGTGGTACATTCAGCATCCTTTTACGAGGCGATTTTGAAGTAGATTGGTCAAAAGAGAAAAGCCGTAGTATCAATTTGGGCTGCGGAGCTGGGACCCAGCCAGCTCATAAACGAACCGATTAGATGTAATTGTCTAGATATTAAAAAGCGTCCTATTCGCTGGCTTTCCCCCCAGCCCCTCTAAATAAATGACCTGGAGGAGTGAAGCGTGGCTGGTCAGACTGTAGCTGGGATCCGTAAGTGCTCTGTAATTGACTGTAATTGGAAAATTAGAAAAAAAAAATGGAGAAAGAGGCTAGCGTTCATTTTGGCACGTGCTTTTATTGGCAGGAGGAGACAGAAGAGATTGCCCTTTATAGACGAAGTGCGGTTAATTGGAGAGCAGGTCAGGAGGCCGCTGGTCAAGGTGTCTCAGAAGCTCACATGGTCTTGGGCGGGCATCAATGTTACCGTCCGGCCGCACGAGCACTGGGGAGGTACCAACCCTGGAGGCACCTTTGAGAGTTTTGGTGGTCTTCTTGGGTTGGGAACCTCATGGCTTTTCATCAGGGCTAGACGTTGACAATAAACTTGTCTGCCCGAATGGCAAAATAATTGTTTCTTGAAAAGGTTTTGATCTTTCAAAGTACTGTGATAGCAATACAGCAGGGTTTGGCTTCGTTTTCCCGCTGGTCCTTGTTGTTGTTAAACCATGTCATGTCAGTGGTTCTAGAACAGAACAACAGCAACGCCTCTGTACTCTCTCTATCCTAATCTGTACTGCACGTCCAGTTATCTTGGCCAATAAGCTGCTGTGGGACCATCTCTGGCCAGGAACCAAATTAGATGCTTGAAGGAAAATCCTAAACATGCAACCTACTCTCCAAGAACCCCTCCACTTTATCCCCCCGTAGCAGGAGTTAAAAAGACAGACCTTCTCACTCTGAGCAATCTGAGCGAGTCTGGAAGCCTCTGGCAGTGATGTCCAACTGCCTCGACCTCCTTCGCCCTTGCCAGCCTCCTGGCCATGTCTTTCTAAAGGGCCTGGAGGAGAGAAGCTTCACCCAGGACTTTTCTTGGTTGTTCCCAGCCTTAATCTCCTGTCACACTCCAGGAGGGTCTCACCCGTGTCCACATGATGAGAAAGAGCTGGAGGGCCATACATATCAGGCTGGATGTGAAGATCGATGTAGGCTGTGGTAGATCTCCACCTGAAGATCTTCCCTCATATGAACATCTCTCCTACGAGGAGAGGCTGAGGGAGCTGGGCTTGTTCAGCCT